AGAAATTACAATAAATAAAATAATGCAATTGGAATGGAAACTTTTATCTCATCCTTCACATTTTCCTGATTTTATCTCTGTTGGGTTATCACTTTTTTTTATCTTTGAATGTATCATATGTAAATCAAAAAACACAACACCTTAATTTGCTGAGAAAAATTTAAATGTAAAGCAAACGTTTTCAGCCAAATCTGTTGGCCATCATCAGGCTAAAAACATTCGAATATAAATAAAATAGAACAAAAATTTAAATACAAATAAAATAAAATAACGAGCGAAATATATATATAAATGTATAAAGAATAATAAAATAAATAAAAATTATTAATACAAATAACAAACCATGTATATGAAAAAATAAGCATAAGTTAATTAAATATTAAAACATTATATAGAAAATTCAGTGAAATGCAAGTTATGCAAAAAATATTAAAATCAACGCACTAAACTAAGAGCTGTCCAATCGTTTGATTAAGTATTTCCAGGCCGAAGGCAACCCTTCAGAATCTCTAGAATTGATGCATGAATCATGCAATTTGCTTTTATATATTTCAATTTGGCTGAAAACATTTTCTTTACATTAAAATTTTTCTCAGCAAATTAAGGTGTTGTGTTTTTTGATTTATATACTAATGCTGAGTGAGTGTACATCAGTTGTATCATATGTGCTGAAAACAATTTACAAATCACTTAAATAATAATGAAGTTTGTTTTCTGTTATAGGTAATGTGATTTAGTCTTTTTGTTTTGTTTTAGTTGTATATCTTGCTGACAGTTCACTGACAATTTGTGTTGCGTTTAATATGTTGTTTTTTGTTGTTGTTATTTCGCCTGTACAAATAAGTATTTATCTTGTACTCATGAAATAAAATAAAATAATAATAATTACAAATCATGCAACCATAGAAGCAGAAGTAACTCAATTTTTTAGTGATAAAATTGAAGAGTTTTATAAAAATGGTATTTTCATATTGACATTGAATTACACTTTCTATTGGGAAAATGTAATTGAATATAAAGGTAAATGTTTTGATGAATAAAATTATTTTAAATGAAAAAATACAAACATTTGTATTGACATTTCAAAAACTGATATTATTTATTTTAATTACCTGATATTAATTATATTATATTAGATGTATACAGTTGTGTTTTGGTCTAAACCTTGTCATCTTATATGTTCTACTTCAGTTATATTTGAAATATTCTATTTTGGTTGTATTCAATTTGTTCAGTTGCCTGAGGTTAGTCTTTAAAATGACAGAAAATGTTTGCATCAATTAAACATATTTCCTCTGTTGCTAAAAAGGTTTTCATGATATTAATTGATATTTTACAAATATTCTTTAAAATATTTCTACAGTCAACACTGATTAATTCTAAATTTGTTCAATGTAACATTTAAAATTAATTAGTATTGTTTGTAGAAGATTTTTATCAAAATACATGCAAAGTTCCTTCATATAAATGATCTTTTAATGAATAATTTACTATGCATACATAAAAAATAGAAATGCTAATTTAAACAATATTAAAATAATAATTTTTAAAATTTTATTTCAATATTTGAATAAAAAAAACCATAAATAATAATAAAGGCGATTCCAGAGAAAGACAATTTCTTATATAATCTATCAGTTAAATGTTTCTACAATATGAACCAAAATTTAATGCCATATAGTAGTAACATTTTATCATATAATATAGCACTTTGGTCACAAGAAAATGATGGGAGAGAAAAACAAAATAAATCTAAGTGCTAGCGGATGAGTTCATTTTCTAAAGTTGGACGAGTTCATTCTCCAAGACTCCACTCCTGTAACGCCACAACATGTAAGTGTTATAATCATAGAATAAATCTAACTATATTAGAATTAAAACTGTTCAAACAATGACAGAATTTTAGAAAGAATAATTGAAATTGATGTGACAAAATACAATTGCATTCCTAAACACAATATCAGTAAAATTCCAACATTCTTATGTTCAGTAGAAAAATGTAAATGACATATAATCCTAAGTCTCAGAAGTGAAAGAGGAAGAGACTGAAATGAAGTAATTAATATGAAATAAAAATTAGATAAAGATAAAAGAAAAAAGCTCAAGAAAAAGATTCAAAAAACAAGTGAAAATCAAGCTTACATCACTCATAACTGTTAAATCTTTGCTGTTAGTTAAAGAAAACCTGTAATAACAAAATAATTTGCAAGAATAAAATATTCTAACTCCTATCAAATTTACAAGTTTTAGAAACAGTAGAAAAAGCAAGCAGAAATACAATAATAAAAGAAATAATAATAATTACCAATAATAAAGATTATTTTAATATATTTTTAAAAACTTTTTAAATCTTTCATTGATTGTTTTTCAAGTTTGTGAGGTAGGGGTGACCTCACTCCCCACCATATACATCACTACAATGCATTTATATATACACAAATAACGATTAAATGTTATGCTTGGTTATGTTTATCAGATTTAAGGGTGGGCTATCTTCCTAAAACAACATCAAAATGCAATGTCATTGGACTTATATATATGCTCAACATTTCAGCCTTCTATATTAATTAGAAATAGATGAAAGTTGAGTTGCAAGACTTGAGAACATACAAAGCAAATTAAATAGTGTGTTTAATTAATAGAAGTGTTTAATGAAAAAAGCTATCCATTTAACTCTAACTGGTTTATTGTACAGTCATCATTAGGATAGCAGAAAGTAGAACATTGTATTCCAATCAGACAGAAAAGGAATATAGCCAACATTTAAATTTTAAACATAAGAAATAAACAGAACAAAATTAAAACAGTAATATATAAAATAAAAGATACAAAAGTCATGTTCGAACAACATCTTCCTCATATATGCTTATAAAATATAAAAAATAGAATGATATTAAAAAATTAAAATATAAAATATGAAAGGTGTTAATGCCATATGCGTAAATGATACTCTCCACATACAGTATATACCAAATGACAGATTATTGAGAAATTAAACATTTATCAGCATGCAAAAAATAACTTATGCATCAATTATAATGATGTGAACTGCTTATCAAAGACTTGGAAATATATATTATAAGCAGGGGCAAATTCTCTGGGCTTGCTTAGCATGTGCCGCATGCTTAAGAGAAAGTTTTGACTGTCAATAAATTTTTTATATGAGAACAAATATGCCAATAATAATTTATTCTAACATGTAAACTCTTTTATCATTTGTGTTTGCTTTTACATTGACAGCTAATGGCAGCCATTTTAAGTCAGTGCAATGCTTGTAGGAACTCAATCGCTTGCTCATGTGGAGGTTTGCCACAGCAAACAAGTATGCACGCAAGACGTCACTCGAAGCATTTAACATGGTCAGATTGTATCGAAAGTTTGCAGTACCCAGTCAGCATACATGTATTGTGTACAGGGGCAGATCTACATAGGGACTAATAGGGTTTAAACCCTGAGCCCTCAGTGTCAAGGGCCCACAAAAATTGAATTATCATCATAAATTTTTAATACTTTTTTATTATAATATATTTCATATATTTCATGTGTAGATATAATGGGGTTTATAATAGTCCATACTTTTTTATTCACACCAAATAATGTTTCTGCTTATTGTTTAGTGCTCAAGATAGGCCTATTATTCTTATTATAACTTTCAGCATGCCCAAAAATTTTGGTCAGGATTTGCCCCTGATTATAAGATGGTGTAAGATAAGCAGGTATCATGTATGTCTATTTTCATTGGTAATAACAAGAGATGTAATAGCCAATGTGGTGAACTTAGTGCTACCTAAGTTTGGCACAAAGTATATATGTAGAGATATCATTTACATATAGTATTAATACCTTTTATATTTTAATATTGTTTTATTTATTTGTTCCTTATGTTTAAAATTTAAAAGTTGGCTATATTCCTTCTCTATCTCAATGTTCTGTTTTCTTTTATCCTGATGATAGCTGCCATCATCAGGATAAAAGTACAGGTAGTACAGGTAAAAACATTTGATATACTCAGTAAAGTATTTGCTAGTGAAAGTTATAAATGTATTATTTAAAAGTAACAATAAAGAAAAAGAAATGGATATATCAAAAATAAAGAAAACAGAAAACAACTCCAAAATGGATAATCAATTACTTATTGAATAATTACAATTGGACAGATATTAATGTAATATTTCTTATATATGATGTAGATCCAATGCAATAACTTATATAAATAAAATTAATAAAACTTGTGATAAATAAAGTATCCACTACTGCTTTTTCGAGTTGCCAAAAGTTCTTTATTTTATCAAAGAACTTTTGATAACTTTATTTATATAAATAAATTACTCAGGATATATTTCTTCATAATTGAATACAACCCCAGAAGTAACAGTTAACATAGTTTTTTGAAGAATATACTTCTTAAAACAAAGGTAAACAAATAAATTATGATAATACTTACAAAGGAAAGAAGAAAGAGGAAACATAATAACACCATTCATAGAGAATTAAATATTTAATGGCAACTATTTTCAATCTGCTTAATAGCCTCTTTTTAAACTTTGGTGATTTATTCTGTTTCTTAATTATAATAAGTTTAAATCGGATGCCAATTTATTTTAATGTGATATATCAAACTAAAACACATCTCATATGTAAAATTGGTATTATATAAATCTTATGTGTGAAACTTCTTGAAAGAAAAAACTATGATTCAGCAACATAACCAACAAAAGATGAACTGAGTATAGTGATATATTTAATCAACAGATATGTACCACTAAAAAGCATAAAAAATAATCATCATTTATATTGTACAAAAAATCTGAATATACATAATTAAAAATTTTAAATGCAAGAATGCTTTAAAATTATTTATGTACTTTAAAATATATTTTCATTTTTAAAAATATAAATAAAATTTTAATAGTAAAAATAATTCTAATTAATTATTGTTTACATTTTTAAATTAAAATGTACTGTACATGTCTATATTGACTAAATATATAATGTCTTACCATTGAAACTTCTTGTTTGAGTTCCTCCAAATCAGGCTTTCCTTTTTTTCCATAAAATGTATTTTTCTTCTTTGGAGGTTTTGATTTAGTTTCATTAACAACATTTTCTGTAGCATTTGGAGTAATGGCAACACGATAACTGTCTGATCGTCCATACTGAATAATTTTTAAAAAATATATACATTTAGATATTATATACAATTTAGTTTTAAATACATTTCAGAAAAAGAATCAACCCTATTTTGTAAACATTTACAAATCAAATTACCCAAAATATTATACAATAAAGTTTAAGATAGTATTTTTATACATTTTTTTTAATCCATCAAATCCAATCTGACTTCTGGTTAGAGTTGTAAGTTATTAATAGGTCCATCTTGTATAACTATTGAGTTCAGTTCACAATAATCAAAAAACAATTGAAATATTATTAAGATTTATTGACATTAATTAATTTGAATAAAACTTAAGATAAATGTTTTTAAAATATTTCAATAATTTTTTTGTTATTGTAAATTAATATTTATAACAGTGTTTATAAAAATGGTGGAATATCTGCACCATATTACTGTAATCCAACTCGTATCTATAAACCTTTTACCGGTGCGCATTTCATCACTCTCTACAACAGTTACAAATGTTTTCAAAACCATTACGGTTCTTCTTCAGGTAACAATCCCCTAACGATTCCGTTAGGGGATCGTTACTTGAAGAAGAACTGTAACGGTTCAAAAACGTTTGTAACTGTTGGATCACAATGTTTATTTCAAAATATTACATTGATGATAGTATGTATACTTAAAAGTGAAATAAACCTTATTAATTCTTCTGGTAAAGATTTTATTTTGAAATGCCTATTTTAAAACATTGTAGAATAGAGAATTCTACGTTGCATTTAAAAAATGTTATATAATGATCAGTGCTGAGTGTGTTAATAAAAACAAAGATCTATATCATACTTTCTTTCACTTTGTCAAATACTAAACCAATACACAAAACTCCTCCATTCAGCACTGAAAAGTAACAGCATTTCCATCTTCTGGCCTGATTCAGCACAATCTGTGAGATGTGTGCTTTTCTTTTCTGGTTTACGAGGAATATGACATTTTGTATGCATCTTTTCAATTTGGATTTCAGAGATGATTCACAACCCTGCAAACTGTGAATGAAATGACATCATTTTTTAAGAGACTTGCAGGTTTTGAACAGCAGGCAGAGAACCCCACCATACCTTTAAATGTGGCTTTTTTTAAAAATTCTTTTTGCCCCATGGGCACTAAGAGAGCCTCTTTTAGAAAGCCCATTATAGGTTCAGCCAGGCTCTCAATGGGGCGACCGGGTGGTAAGGGACAGGGGCTGACATATCCAGTCGGATCACCCCCAGAAATTTTTCGACCCGTCCAAATTTGATCCCAAGTCCCCCAGAGCACCTTACTCTCTCAGCCATTGACCCCTGTATGGGTGGCTGGAGAACATAAGCACCATTACGCTTATTGTGGAGAGAATTAGAGAAAAAAAATATGATTTTAAATTTCTCCTAATCAGACATCTTACTCAGGACTGCATGGTGAACTTCTCTATTGTTTGCCTTAGAGGTGGTAAGAATTACAATCAACTCCTTTTTACACAGAAGATACATTTCCTATAGTAAATTGGGAGATATGTTTCAAGTTATTAAATAAAACCATGTAAGATGAAATAAATAACTATAGTAAGACCCCATTTAATGCAGGGGCTACGTTCCTAGATGATAAAAGCACTAAATGAAACAAGGGTCGATTATATTGCAAACTGATTTTAATTTGGTGATGTCTTCAATATACAATAAGTTGGTTTTAAGAAATTTTTTTCTTTTAAAGATTATTGTATTTATATTTCATTTCTCCATTACAGTTATCTCTCTGAGGAACGTGATTTTGTATAGTCAAAACATGTAATGGTGCGTGCCCTGACATTTGATGGTAGGGAAGCTGTTTCCATAAAAATTTTAAACAAATACTGGAAATGACAAAAATAAACAGTTTATTTATTTTAATTCTAAAATAAATAATTGACACAAAACAAAGATATAAGAACTTATTATTATTATTTTTTATAAACTAACTGTATTTGGCATCTTTTTACACAAAGTTGTTAATTACTCTATAATAAAAATCGCTGGTCGTCGATTCCATCAAAGTATTTAAAAGCTCTTTTTCTATCGAAAGCAAGGTTATTGACAACAATCTTTCCTCCGACTGAGTGTTCCTTCCCATGTATCAATTCGCTTCACAGCTGAAAAAATGCACTCAACAGATGTACTCGTAGATGGGGCCATAAAAATTAATGATATTAAATCGTATAATTCTTTTAGTACCTTTCTGTTCAGATTGTCATTAATTATATTTTTTATGCCCAAGAGTGACTTGCCAATATAGTCTGGCACAAATATAAATATTTCAATTCTCTATGTAATTTAAATAAATCAAAAAATTTCCCACAAAATTGATTAATTAAAGAATTAAAACTCACTTCGGAAAATTGTTTTTCATAATATTTAAAATTATTAACATCTAAAAGTGGTAAAAATTCCAAAGATTTTGTCTGAAAATCTGTCAATATAATTATAATTAAATATAGCTTTTTAAAGAAACGTGCATAAAAATAACATAAAATCTTCTTTACTTTTTAAATCTTAAAACAATGCATAGTCAAATAGTCCCTATCAGTGGTTAATGGATGGAATCATTGGAAGCATTATACGTTCTGGTATGTAGCTTCCACCAGCTAAATAGCCTGAAGTTGGTGCTCTGTAAAGAACATGCGCAAATGCACGTAATCTGATTGCCTTACGTGATTCAGATATTTTTGCCGTGGATTCGACAATAGTGTTTCCATTGAGAATATGCATATACGGACTTATATCCGAATATACAATAGCAATCTTATCATTTTTTTCACATGTATAGAAATTTGTTATAAAATACATAATGCGATTATAATAAAATATTCATTTTAAGTAAGTCAAAGTATGTTAAAATATGAAAATAATCGCTTAATATGTATTTATATTTTATAAAATACAAGGGAAGCGGCGCTTCCACAGCTTCCATGGACGCCAGCACGCTACTGGTGTAAGGCAAACGAAATACAGCTCCTTTTTAATTGCGATGTCTTTCTGAATAAATGGAGTTAATGAAAAAATTCTGTTCGAGAATTACAATACGTTTAAATAATAAAATTAGTAAAAACGAGTGTAGCAATACTTTTGTAGTTAATTATCTTACGATACAAAACCAGGATACATAAAACTTAATCTTTAATTTATATGAGACATGAGATATGATGCTACACTACCAGATGAACATAGAATCGAGAACACGTGCATACAAAGCGAGGTCCGAATCCAAACTTCCAAAGTGAGATCATAGGATCAGGTTGCCAGTTCTGTTAAGTTCAGAGTTCCTCCTTTCTTTCTTCTTTCTTCTTCTTCGATGGTGTTTATATGGAGATTTTAGCTCAATGTAGGCTCTTTCTCCGAGTAGACTTGTGTATGTGTATGATCGCTAGGCGACCGATTAGCCGGCTGTATCGAACAGCCATACGTACGCGCGGGAAATAAATGCCTTCCGGGAGGACTTTTATGGGGAACTGGCCTCCTATTCAGTCGTTATAGGCAAGGAGAAAACCCGGAAAACTCCAAGCAGCCAGCCTGTCCGACCGTGGCGCGAACCCACGACGAACCTCCCAGTCTTTAGGGTCTGGTCACCACTACGATGAGCGGCAACGGAGACCACTCGCCCACGAGAGTTCCTCCTGGTGACGACCTTTGGATTTATGACCAAAGCTGTCGCCACAACGAGCAACTATTTATCGTGACATCACCACGATGCCGGGCTGCAATTTTTAATCAATTTTATTTTTTTAACTCTTTCCGCCCTGTGGGAAAAAAGAGGGCCTCTTTTATTAGCAATCCCCTTGTGGGTTCGACCCAGTGCTGTGCGATGTCTATAATTTTAACATCGATGCATCGATGCTAAATTTCGATGTTGGATTTCACATCGATGTTTGATCGATGCCCATTGGAACATCAATGTTCAATCAAGATAAACTCAAACAATTTAAAAAAAAAACAAAAAAAACAAAACCGGGTTTGTTCAAACAGAAGTTTTTGACGCATGCGCAATGTCATTTTACAATGCGAAGAATAACGTGTATGCCGGTTCTAAATCAGTTACAGTTAGAGCCTAGGGACTTGCGTAGGAGTAACGTAAGTGACCTAAATTAAGAAAGAACGGGTATAGATAACTTAGCTCTATTTGATACGTGTACGATCGTACATGCAAAAAAAAAGTCGACAGGGTTTTTTTTACTATTTCCGCCCTTTGGGCACTAAGAGGGCCTTTTATAGCAGGCCCATATGGAGCGACCGGGTGGTGAGGGACGGGGCCCGACATATCCGAACGGACCACCCCCGAAAAATTCCTGGGGATTCCTTGACCCGTCCGGATTCGATCCCGGGTCCCCCAGAGCGGTAGGCTGCCACCTTGACCGTTGGCCATCCGGCCTCAAAGTCGACAGGTTGCGCGCCACAAGACGGCGTAAACAGACTAACATGGCAGAGTTGCGGATGAGTTTTAATGAGTGTGAGTTCATTCACTGTTAAAATAGTGTAAATTTATAAACATATTTGCAAGAACTTTGTTTCATCGCAATTTCATAATTTCTACGAAATTCCCGGACTGTCCGGTGAAAACCGAACAGGTGGTAACACTAGGAACAAAGAATGAACTGCATGCATCGATGAATCAAAATTCACATATTGCTAACATCGATTCAGGATTGATGTTTCAAAAACATCGGAAGATCGATGCATCGACGAACAAAAACATCGATGTGTCGATGTCACATCGATGCATCGCACAGCACTAGTTCGACCAGGCCTACAATGGGGCAACCGGGTGGTGAGGGACGGGACACGACATATCCGAACGGGCCACCCCCGAAAAATTCTCTTTCGATCCCGGGTCCCCCAGAGCGGTAGGCTGCCATCTTGACCGCTCGGCCATCCGGCCGTCGCTTTATTTAATTAAAATGTATATATTTTAAAATTCTCTCCACCTCAAATTAGTAGTGGCTTTTCCCTGTACATCATAAATTTCCTTTAACAATAGAGTCGTACAAATCATCTATTTAACACCTTCAGAGGAAAATTTTTGAATTGAAATAATGTGACTTATGGTTTGCATCGGAAGCACATATATACTCGTAGTTAATCGGAACATCCTGCCTCTAAGGTTCTCCTAAGGTTGCCCATATTTGATTTCTGTTTTTATGTATCTAACTCCGTTCTCAAGAGTAAGGAAAGACAGTGGAAATTTATAAGTCTACAATTTTTTCAAACTGCAGTCAAATTTGATTGGTTTAATTACTTTTAAAATTGAAAATATGAAACAGTTTAATTAAAATAATGGTATACAAGAAAATACTATTCTTCGTCTCTTATATAGGCTATCTACGACAGAAGTTAAGTTTCCACTATACGATTCCATAGGGGAGACCGGGGAGAGTTGTCACAAGGAACATGTTGTCACAATGCTAATATCGCCTATATAATCAAAACTGAATGGTTGCGTCATCTAGAAGTAGGTTCATTTACCGCTCGCTACGTCATTACAAAATTTGAATAATATCCGTTGCATTGTTTTCCGTAAATTAGCGGTTGAAAGATTTATAGCCAGCGTTGCCATTCCTAGTACATTTGTACTTTTCGGGTACATTTTGCCCTTTCGAGCACATTGAAAGTACACTTAGATTTTTAGTACCTTTTGAGTACATTAAAATATTTCAGTACCATTTATGGTACAAAATAATATTTCATGCCTTAACGAAAAAATTCGAAAAACTTAGTTCAATAAAGTCTCACTAGTGTCACCACTTGCTAATTTGATTTACCCAATCACAACATATACATGGTGTATGTCGGTCGACGTCAACAACATACAGATAGTTGCATGTGCAAATGTTATGACTCAGTGGTCTTCTTTCACACGTATCACATTCTCATGAGGACCTTGACAAAATTTTTCACGCCACGTGGTCCAAACAATTCAACTCTGTCAAACAAAAATATTGGACAGATAAGGAAATCAATGATTTTAAACTTTTGTCATCATTTGGGGCCGAGGGGGGAAATAAATAAAACTCGATAATAGGCGATATATATCGTCATCGTCTCCCTTGCCGTTTGGACTGCCGAGCGGTAACAATCAGAGCCGGCCCTACCATAGGGCGAAAGGAGCAGCCGCTCCAGGCGCTAAGTCCTAGGGGGCGCCTCAGTGGTAAAAAAAAATTAAAGGGTATAAATTTGGGGCAACCAAGGGCAGTGGCGTAGCGAGGGGGTGCAAGGGGGTGTATCAAGCACCGGGCGCCACTCGCAGAGGGGCGTCCAAATGGTCTCCAAGACAAACTATATGTGTTTCTGGAGGGGGCGCCAATAAAGTGTCGTGCTCCGAGCGCCAGTTATGTTCGCTACGCTACTGACCAAGGGGGCGCCATAATAGGATCTCGCTCCATCCTAAAACTTGCCTCGGGCCGGCACTGGTAACAATCAACGACATGTGGAAGCAGTTGAGTCAGAGATAGATGTTTCGTTTACAAACAACGCAACCGTTTATTAAACACGAAAGAAGCTTACAAGATTTCCGCGATCTTGGAAGTTTCGAAGCGGCTGCGGCCTCTGGGTCTTCCTCTCCTTTCCAAGATTGTCCCATTTTGATTGAGTGTCCCTTGTTCGCGAATGAACCATTCCATCACGTCTCGACGACTCCGGGACGATGCGGTCGACTTCCGCTGATGGAAAGATGTCGATCCGAGGTCGGGAGATGGAGACGAAGATGGGTTCGAGACACACACACAACAACAGATCCGTCACTTGGAACTTTCGGGAGAAGAAGCCCCGCGTCCTTGAATTTCCGTGGTTTTATCCGTTTTCTCTCAGATTCCCCTTTCCGATTGGTCTCTCGTCGTCACCTGATGACAATTCGAAACCTTTCGGGGGCGCGGGGGAGATCAAAATCGAAGTTTAATTCGATCTCCAACCGGAAATGGTCGACGGACTTACATTCTTCTATTGTTTAAAAGTTAGCGTCGCGTTTTCATAAAATAAAATCTATTTCTAACTACTATATTTTTTTCTTTAAAACAATTATTTTAACGCGAATTTTAGTGAGGGTTCGGACCTGTCCCGAGCCTCACAATCAATAATATCAAAATAGCCGTTAAGTCAGAGTCGAATTATTACACAAAATAGTTTTGAAATTGTACAGTACAAATAATATTATTTTCTACCACTATAATTTAATTCTTAATTATGAACTTCAATTTTAGTAATCTTGGCAAAAGAAATAACTTTTTTAATTCGAATCTGTCCACGCATACTTAATTTATAATTTTTTTATCCATCACTATAATATTTAAAAAAAATCAACTTTTAATGTTGTATTTAACAAAAAACCATAGAAACTACTTTCATAAAATCTTTTTATGAAATATTTAATTTTAAAGTATCCATATTTAACAAAGTATTCATGAATATGAATTTGAAATAAGCACAAAAATTGAGTATGATGGTATATTAATATTAAAAGTAACCAACCACAGAAATAGTACATTTAGAAGGAAAATTGTACATTTTTTAAAGGAGCTTCAATACGTTTTGAAATTTTATTGTGGCAACAAGTCGCGTAAACTTTGATGCATCATGTCTTGTGCCGTTTGAAAACTTGCAATTAGTAAAAGGTGAGTAACAACTGTATTTCCTATTAGATGGGTCCTGTCCTTCGATTGCTCATAATGCATATATACATTATGAGCAATCGAATTTTCTATTTTGAAATTAGAAACTATGAGTCGATTTGTTAAGGAAGTTCATTTGGGGCAAATTGTCACGCATCGAACGGGGCAACTTAACACTAAGACTGACTCATCAGAAGAGAAAGAAAAGACATTCTGTTTGGTTTGTGGTGAGGGTTTGGTCTCACGAGCTATGTACAGATGTAAATCCATATTATGTTCGTCACAACTGTGACCCTGAAGATATGTAAAGATTCGAGTTACTTGTCTTTCGCAGAATAAATAATAGTAAATTAGTAATCTATTTCCTTTATAGAATTGGCACGAGTAAATGTCATATTACGCATAATTTAACATAACCAAAATAAATTCAGGAAATGTGAGAACTTAGAATACTGTACATATGCCCTGTGACGATATATCCCTTACTCTGTGACAACATACCCCTAGACGGGTATGTTGTCACAGAGTACCACAGTTTTTAAAATAATTAATAATAGTGGCGTGCCGTGACATTTCTGTAAGAAGCCGACATCCAGGGGCAATCAATCAATTGCGCATCAGTGATGGTCTAGGGCTGGGGTGGCCAACAGGTTTTGCTCCCGGGCCGAATTGGAAAGAAAACTTTTTCCACGGGCCGAACCAAAGGCTGCCATAGGAAGATTTTGAGGTGGTGCGAGATCTCATTGTGTTGTCACCCCGTAGAGACTAAATTGTAGATATAGATTATAGATACATTTTTCACATTATCATGCTTTATCAACATTCTGCGCTGTACTTACGAGATTTGTAATAGTTGATTTTTTTTTTTAGGCGTCAAAATTTTTCATCGAGCTATTCGGACTTGAGTAGTTAATATTGAAAGATTGATCGCGGGCCACATAAATCCATTAGACGGGTTGGATCCGGCCCGCGGGTCGTATGTTGACCATGCCTGGTCTAGGGTCCATTCGGATCCTATCGTATCTATTATTCGATAAGGTCCATTCGGATCCGAATTATTCTATATGATAGGATCCTATTGTATGGATTATTCGATAAGCCAGTAAAAACCGTAGACTTCTCTAAATTCATTTTTAATATCACTATTACATTCCGAATCGCTAGCCACGATATAAGGGCTACAGTTAAAAATAAAATAATGAAAACTTACTCGGTGAAATAAAATGTGTGATGGATGTACCGGTACATACCTGGTACAAAATATTCTTCAATTGTATATGAATATACTTTTAAAGAAAATTATAATTAAATATAGCTTTGTAAAGAAACGTACATAAAAATATAAAATATTCTTTACTTTTTAAATCTTAAAACAATGCACTTAGTCAAATAGCTCCCTACGAGTGGCTAATGGATGGAATCGAAGACGGTTGCAGAGCGTGCATAACGCGGACTGCCAAATCCCCAGGGTGTCGATACCGGTCAGTGTCAAATAGCTTTTTTGTCGCATCACTAGTATACCTCAAAGGACGCGACAGGGCTGTTGTAGATTTTAAACGTTTCTCACCGTAGCTGTAAAAATCTAAAATTAGTTAGAAAACAAATAGTCATTTGTTTTCTAACTAATTCGTTTTAGGACCAAATGTCCTCAGAAATTTCCAAAATTTACAACTTTACGGTCACTCTCATTGAACTGGAAAATTTTCTGTCTTTATTACATTAATAATACGAATATGAAATTGCAGTTTTGTCTTGCCATTATATTATTATAGAAATATCTAAGAAATCAGTCTCCGCTGTACTCGGCTAGAGATGGTTCGGTTAAGCTTTTGTTTAAGTAAAATTTCGGCTCTTTCATCAGAGTTTTGTTTATGTCCCCAATTCCCTAATCGCTTAATTATTTAACTACTTCTTAAGTAGAAATAAGTCGAAACCGGTTACTTTGTACTCGAATACTTGTAGTCTCGGGAAAAAAGTGGAAAGAAATTTTTATGACAAACGGATACATAAATCGTAAATTTAAGGAAAATAAATTCTAGAGCTTTTTCTGTACCTGGTGCATCTCTCTCATTAAATTTAGTTGTAAATGATGCTACCAAAGTAACAGTTAATTTTTTAACATTATACAAGAATTGTACGTTTTTTCTACATTCCCTTAGAGATGGGATATACGAAATCGTAATATCACTGGTTTAACATTAAAATCCGTGAGTAATATAAAATCGGAGAGTGGAATAAAAATATCAAATATTTTAATGGATTTTTTATAACTCCTGTCAACTATACAGAACTATCATAAAAACATACCAGTAAATTCTTATCGGTTGGGTTAAGTTATAAATCTACTCATGATTCACATAATCGGGCGAGGGCGGCCAAATATCTAGCGGGCGGGCGGCTAACAGTCCAGAACCGGTCCTGGATAGAATTGGATGCAGTATACGTGTAGCATCCACCCAAGGTCCTAGGCTTCCACCAACTAAACCGGGTGAGGTTAGTGGGAGTCTAGGACCTTTATGGGTTTTTCCTGAGTTTCACGATCATGGCAACGATAGAAATGCCTTTGCCTGCAAAGGCAAAGAGCTCTATGCCTTTGCAGGCAAACGGCCTGCAAAGGCATAGAGCTCTAGATCTTTAATAGTGTATGGTACATATTATTGACATATATGTACTCTGTAAAGCGCATGCGCGAATTCGGCTTTTTGGATGCTGACGATACAGCGCTTCCACTCCGCCACTATTATTCGAATATACAATAGCAATCTTATCTTTTTCTTCACGTGTAGTATAAAAATTTGTAATAAGATACACAATGCAGTTATAATAAAATATGGTGTGATTATTTTCATATAATTAAAATTAATATGTATTTATTTTTTAGAAAATACAAGGGAAGCGGCGCATCCACCCCTTTTAATGACGGCACGCTACTGATTAATAACTATGACAAAAATTATTGAATGTTAATATATTTATTATAAACCAAATCAAAAGATATGTAGGTGTATACATTTTCACTTAAACCTAAATAAATTGATATCAGAGACTCTAAAATTATAAATGACTAAAAACTGTGACGACTAGCCCCGGTCTCCCCTATATCACGAGGTCAACAAACGTCTTGCTAAATACAAGTCGGATCACCAATCATCCGTGTACAGTAAATTGGAGATGCGTCTGATTTGCAGGCAAACAAATGTATTGCAGTTAAAGCATTTCTAATGCTTTTATTAATTTTTTAGTTGGCACAATTATGTAAATTTTAATCAGTTACAACAGTCAAAAAGTATTATTGTCAATAATATGTACTGTACACTATTAAAGGTCTAGAGCTCTATGCCTTTGCAGGCAAACGATTTCTATCGTTGCCATAATCGTGAAACTCAGGAAAAACCCATAAAATCACAGACCACGAAAGCATTAACTAAAAAACAAACGGTAACAAAAATTATTATTTATAAATTATTAAATGCAATTGTCCAAAAGCTTATTGCGCCACTGGGCAGTTGCTCCATTCCTATTGGCCACATAAAAAAAAAAATCATTTTACTTACTTATGTGGGATAAGCAGGGGGTCAGGGGGTATTCCCTTCTGACCACTTAATCTGCACGGGTTGGTAAAAGCCGATATCGAGGTCATTGGATGGCTAGGAGGGCAAATCGAGTGGGGAGTGCGTCGGTAAGTCGGCAGGAGTCCGTGGACAAACAAAAGACAGGGTTTGACATAACAAAATTAAAATTTATTATAAAAATAAATCTAGAATATACAGAGCTATACGCGGATAAATGCGGTTACACATGGATGTGGATAAATGCGGTTACGAATGCTCTTATCATGTGGAATGCCGAAAAATAAATCTTTAGCGAAACGCGTGCTTGACCTAATTTCCCTGTTATAATGCTTTTTACGAGAGAGTTTACAAGTTTCAGCCTCCTTAAATACCTCTCAGGCGTATTGG